CCCGGACAAAGCAGGGCAGTCTTGCACATGGGACAAGGCTAGTCTGATCTACTCCTACTCATTTTTTTTTTTTTTTTTTTTTTTTTTTTGAGACAGAATCTTGCTTTGTCACCCTGGCTGGAGTGCAGTGGCGTGATCTTGGCCCACTGCAACCTCTGCCTCCCAGGGTCCAGCAATTCTCCTGCCTCAGCTTCCTGAGTAGCTGGGATTACAGGCACCTGCCACCACACCTGGCTAATTTTTGTATTTCTAGTAGAGATGGAGTTTCACCATGTTGGCCAGGCTGGTCTCCAACTCCTGACTTCAGGTGATCTGCCTGCTTTGGCCTCCCAAAGTGCTAGGATTCCAGGCATGAGCCATCGTGGCTGGCCTAATCTACTACTCTTTTAGCAAATTTCTAGGATACAATACAGTATTAACTATAGTTATTATGCTGTAAATTATACCTCTAGACTTATTCCTTCCAGATATTATAACTCCCACAAGTTGCTGTAGTTCTGTTAAGGTTTTTTCACAGTCTGTTTTTTTTCTGTTGTTCAGATTGAACACTTTCCATTGTTCTATCTTCAAATTCACAGATTGTTCCTCTGTACTCTCTATTTGGCTGTTAAGCTCATCCACTGAGTTTTTATTTCAGTTATACTTTTCTAAAATTTTCTAAAATGTCAATTAGTTTCTTCTTTATATCTTCTATTTCTTTACTGAGACATTGTTTTAGCATCCTTATGTTTGTTTAAAATTGCTCCTTCAAGCTTCTTTCTGACTACCTCTTTACGATCTTTGTCATATTATAACATCTTTGCCATCTCAGTGTTGGCACCTATTAATTACCTTCTGTCATTTTGTTTGAGATCCTTCTGGTTTTTGGCATAACAAATAATTTTTTAAATTGAAAGTTGGACACTTTGGGTTTTATTTTATGAGATTCTAGATCTCATTTAAACCTTGATTTCTTCTGTTATCCTTCCAGCAGAAAAGAGTGGAGCACCACCTCATTACTGCCAGGTAGGGGTAGAAATCAGCTTCCCCATTCAGTCTCTGTTGATAATTGAGTTAGGGGAGTGTTTTCTTTTCATTACTTCTGAGCTGGGGTGGGTTGTCTAGCTCCCCAATAAACTTCACTGGTACCTCTCTAGCTGAGAGGGATAGAAGTAACTTTCTGCTCCCTACATGGCCTCCACTTACCACACACACATTGGGGGAAGGCAGCATTGTTACTGTCTGGTGGTGACCAAAGTCCGGGGCTTTTGCAAAGAGACTAGGGCTCCTCATTTCAGCTTGGTAAAGGCAGAAGTCGAATCTCCTCTATCAGCTCTGATGGGGGTGGGACTGAGTGTTTGGCTATGCTAGTGGTTATTGTTCAATGTTTTCTGTCTTATTAGGCTGCCTCTTTCCTGGTCTTTTTGCATGAGTGAGTAGGCTGTTTTTTGTTGTTGTTGTGTTGTTTTGTTTTCAAGGCTTTTATTGTCTCTGCTTCTGTGTTTCTGTTTCCAGCTTCTGTAGCATCCAATCTTAAATATTTGAGGCAAAAAGAAAACTCAGTAATTCCACTGCTGTGCTGTTCTTCAGGTCCTAAGGTCCCTAGCTTGTCTGCCTTGCTTTTGCCACCTTTCAGAGTCTTCTTGTGTTTGTTTCATATTTAATGTCCAGGATTTTTAGGTGAACTTCATCAGAGGAATAGGGTTCGATCTTGTTTCATTTTCCCAGAAGTAGAAATCTCTGTTCTATGTGTTAGATTTTTAAAAATAAATAACTTAGGAGAAAAATTAGGAGAATAATTTCATAATCTTAGCATTGGAGAGAACTTCTTAAGCAAGGAACATAAAAGCTATAAAGAAGAACTAGTAGGCGTTATTGATTACATAACTCTTTAAATTTTTATAGAACAGAATGCATAATAAATAAAAATCAAACTACAGGCTGAGGAAATATTTGCAATACATATGACAAGCTAAAAGTTATTTTTTCTAATATACAAATTGATGGGAAAATGACAAACATCTCAAGAGAAGATTTGCACAAGCAATTCACAAAAGAGGAAATTCAAATGGCCAATAAAAAAAAAGCACACGAAGATTGCTAAAAGTAGGTTTCAAATGTTTTCATCACAAAAATGATAAGTATGTGAGGTGATGGACATAACTAGCTTGATGTAATCATTTCACATTATGAGTATATACATATATGAAAATATCACACTGATATATATAAAATTTGTATTTGTCAATTATACTTTTTTTAACTAAAAAACTTTAAAAAGCAAAGAAGATTAATATCAGCAGTAGTTAGGGATATGCAAATTAAGCAACTCTGTAATTTCCATAAGACGAGCAGAAATTTAAAAGAGTAGAGATGTTGGACAGAGTGTGGACATCTGTTTAAGACAATTGTTGATCTACATTTTTATATAGATGGACATTCATAAGGTAGAGTTAAGTGAAAAGAAGCAAGTACAGTAGTAGTGAATATATACATCGTAATTTCATTTTATGTTTTTTAAGTATCAGAACCCATATACATACATGATTGTATATGTTTGGATACAGAGAAAGATGGTAAGGGTACAAAACAGACTATTAAAATTGGTTATTAACTAATAACCAAGGCAATTAATGTTGAGAGGAAATGGAGAGACGTGGCTTAGAAATTATTAACTTTTCTCTGTATATTATTTGGACTGTTTCACTTACTGTGTAATTTCATATATAAAATTTAATGTTAACTAGGACTCTTAGAAACTATTCCCAGCAAAACACACCCCCAAACTACTGTCTAAAATACTGAAAATGCATGACTCTTTAAATCAATGAGTCAGTTGGCAAGAAAGAGGAATTCTTGAAAGCCAAAAATGATATGAAGGCATGACTCCAGAGAGATAAGGCAGTGCTTTAGTCAGAGTTTTTCTGGGGGTATCTGTCAATGCCTGGTAATCTGCAGTTTGAATTTTAGTGGGCCTCTGGCAAGGGCAAGAAAAAATAGCTAAGCCCCAGGCAATGTGAAAAGTCAGATCAGAAATCTCACTTACAAGGATCCCCAAATGCCGACACCTTATAAAAGGATGATACAGAAACATCCGCATCCACAACTACAGTAGAGGAACTTGCCTGTCTTGGCTTTGGCTCTGAGCAAAGTGGGGAAAAAGACTATTCTGAGAATTTGTAGCTGGAATCTAGTTTCCTTTCATAAGAGCAGAGTAGGAAAACTGGCACACGTGCATAGTCTGAGAAATCTAAGGCTATGAATTTAATTCAAAATAACATGAGTTGTCAGGGAAAAATTGAAGACAAATTGATTCTGAAGAATGCTTCTTTAAACACAGGAATCCAAGAAATTCCACAGGTAAAGTACCATTACATACATAAACTTCTATTAAATATATACTCTCACAATAAAAAAAAAAATCACGCAGAGCTTAAGAACACAAGATTAAAAAAATCAAGAAAAACAACCAACAGCAAAGGTCCACAAAGACTTCAGATATTAGTTACTGTATTGTAGGGGAAAAAACATAGAAAAAGGATTCCTGATTCTGTCTTTGGAGTAGGAAAGGCATGTGATGAAAACCTTCATTCAAAAGGTAAAAGACAAACCAATAAAAGTTTTAGACGATTACTCTGGATCCTGGAAGATGTTTATAATACATATAACTGATGAAAGACACGACTCCAGTAGAAATCAGCAAGAAAAAATCAGACAACAATGAGCAAAACAGTTGAACAGAAGATCACAGAAAGGATATCCAAGTGGTTAATAAAGATCTAAAAATGTGCTCAACCTCATTACTAGTCAAGATATGTAAATTTAGTCCACAATGGTGTATTTCTATACTCATAGCAGGATGGTAAAAATGAAAAGATTCCGACAATTCTACATACAACATAGATATGGAACAACAGGAACTCTCAACTACCAATAGCAAAACTGTGAATTGGTACAACATTTTTGGGAAATAATTTGGCATCAGCTTGAGAAGCTGAAGATACGCATGCCCTGCAACCCAGCATTGCCTGTCTTGAATATATAACCTACAAGAACACGTGCACCTTTGCTCCAGCAAACACACACAGAGTGTTCATAGCAGCTTTATTCTTAACAGCTGCAAACTATAAACAACTCAATAGAGTAGGGATATGTGTGTAGTCATACAATAGATGGCACAGCAATGAAAATTGACAAAATACACACAGCAATGTGGATGGAATTCATAAATATAATGTTGAACACAAAAAGCCAGGCACAAAATAATATATTCCAAGTGACTTCATTGATATAGTACAGAAGCAGATAAAAACAAGAACATATTTAGGGGAATACATACGATCTTGAAAATGTGAAAAACAAAGTCACTACCATTAGCTGCCTTTGAGAGGATAAGAAAAGGTTGAGATTGGAAAAGAATAAACGTGTTGGAAATCTTTTACTTGATCTCAATGACGGTTTACTTTTACTTGATCTTTTACTTGAGCTCAGTGATAGTTTAATGAATGATCACTTAGTAATAGTTCATTAGGCTGAACACTGTTTTATGCATATTTTTGTTTTTGTGCTATGTTTTCACTATACATATTTTTACAAAAAGGAAAAGTAGCTCTTCCTTATTTTCTCTCATTTTCTTTACTAACTGAACTAGTCAGTCCTAAAGCCATTAGATAGGGCAGAGCAAGGTAGGCGTTTGCCCCAAAGGGAAGGGAGCAACAGCTGGTTCTGTGTGGGCATCAGAGCTGGAACAGGTCAAGGAGGGCATTTCTGTAGGAGGGCTGCTGGCATGGTGTGCTGGAGTGATGGCATGAGAAGGCTCAGTGAAGAGGCGAGAAGCAGCATATCATGGAGATCAGCCTGCCCATGTTGAGAAAGGCATCCCCCTAGGGCTAGAGGGGCAGCCTGGCATAGAATGAGAGCCTGAGTGGGGTGAGCAGAGTGTCCAGGAGGGGGAACAGATAAGGGAGGAGCCTCAGAGCTGCAGCAAAGTGAGGAAGCTGTCCCCATAGGGAGGAGGCCTGATGTGGACTGTCTGAACTGAAGGAGGGTGAGGAGGGTGTCTATGGGGGTGGGCAGCCAGACATGGAGATTCACAGCCCAAGGAGATGAGGAGGATATCTAGAAGTAAGGGTGATGTGCTCTGGGGAGGTGGGCCAAGCACAGCGAGGAGGGGTCTCACAGAACAGGGCTGTCTCATATAAGGAATCAGAGCCTAAGCAGGGTGAAGAGGGCATCAATGCATCAAGCGATTCTCCTGCCTTAGCCTCCTGAGTAGCTGGGACTACCGGCATGTGCCACCACGTCCGGCTAATTTTTGTATTTTTGGTAGAGATGGGGTTTCAACATGTTGGCCAGGCTGGTCTCGAATGCAACCTGATATGGCTGTTGGAGCCCAAGTAGGGTAAGTTGGGCATCTGTGAGTGGCCCAGTGTGGAAGTTCAGAGCTGAGCAGGGTAAAGTTTGATATTTTTAAACAAATAAGCAAACAAACAAACATATAATATGTGTCTAAACAGTAAAAAAATTTAAAAAGGAGTAATAGTGATAGGTTATACTATTATTCAGTTATTCATTCCATCTTTCCTTTAAGAGGACACTCCTGCCCATTACCTTGCAATTTACAGAACTACCTGTGGAAGGAAGACAAATTTCTGCCTCATTGACTTTGGGTTTGCTGTCAGCTGTGCTTTGCCTGTTGGAATATGAGCAGATGTGGCATATGCATTGTGAGTTTTGCACTCTGAGCTCCTGCCAGCTCCTCTGCACTTCCCCTCTGCCAGGAGAAGGGGCCTGATCCACATAGAGGCTGCTGCTTTATTCTTGGTCCAAAAGCCTGGAGTAGAGCCCCCGCTTGGAGCAAAGCAGTAGACAATTTGCTACCTAGGCAAGCCGTGGAGAGCTTAAAGTTATTTCTACCCCAAAGTAATACAAATACAGTTGACACTCATTACTTGTGGGTAGTTATGTTCTGTAAAGTCACTGTGAACACTGGATAAGCAAATAATAAGCCGTTGCTCCCAGGGAAAATGCAAGCCTCTGACCACACATTTTCATCATTTGATCATTACATAATCTTGTTTTATGTATGCTTCTATTTGAAGACACGCGATATAGAAGGTTCACACAGAGGGCTTCTGGGAGGCTGGCTACTTTCTGTTTTTTAACCTTCATGGCTAGTTATTAAATAAAACTCTATATACTTTTTTTCTTTTTTTTTTTTTTGAGAGGGATTCTCTCTCTGCCTCCCAGGCCGGAGCACAGTGGCGAGATCTTGGCTCACCACAACCTCTGCTTTATGGGTTCCAGCAATTCTCCTGCCTCAGCCTCCCACGTAGCTGGAACTATAGGCGTGCGCCACCATGCTGGGCTAATTTTTGTATTTTTAGTAAAGACAGGGTTTCAACATATTGACCAGGCTGGTCTTGAACTCCTGACATCAGGTGATCTGCTCACCTTTACTTCCCAAAGTGCTGGGATTACAAGCGTAAACCATCATGCCCTGCCTATATACATGTTTAAAAAATAGGGGCAAAACAAAAAAATTAAAAAAAAGACAAAAAAAAGATATTAAAAAAATATATATATATATATAAAATAGGGGCACAGTGGTTCACGCCTGTAATTCCAGCATTTTGGGAGGCTGAGGTGTGTGGATCATGAGGCCAGGAGATTGAGACCATCCTGGCCAACACTGTGAAGCCCCGTCTCTACTAAAAGTACAAAAAATTAGCCAGGCATGGTGGCACACACCTGTAGTCCCAGCTACTTGGGAGGCTGAGGCAGGAGAATTGCTTGACTCCAGGAGGTGGACATTGCAGTCAGCTGAGATCACACCACTGCACTCCAGCCTGAGAGACAGAGGGAGACTCTGTCTAAAAAAAAAAAAAAAAAAAAAAGACACCTTACATAATATATACATAATATATATTACTGTTTGTTAACGCTGAAATGTGGCTGAAAGCCCTGTAACTCATGCCTGAACCTGGTTTATCTAACACAAGTCATTTCTTTGTAAGGCACATCACAGGCCTCTTGCTCTTAGGACACCTGACAGCACTTTAGCAACTCTTGGTGGCCATTTTAAACTGTGAACTCACCAACAAAAAGCACAAAAATGTGAAAAATGTGACACTAAATAGATTGTAAAAAGGAAGCTTGTTTATAGCAGTGGAAGAGCTTAAACAAGCAGAGCACTGTCTTGTTTGACTTCAACTAGGAATGTGTATGTTGAGTGACTCAAATTTTTTGCCACTCTGAACATATCCCTGAATGACCACAAACGCATCATGAATATTGATTCTTGGGTAATTAATAAATTGCAGCAAGAAGGCAAATTTGCAAGTACAGAATCTGAATAATGAGGACTGAGAGTAGATAACTCATAATAAGATTGTAGAGATGAATCCAAATATGTCATTAGTGCCCATAAATGTCAATGAATAGGTAATAATAGATGGATAGAATTTTTACAACGTAGATTTACACTATTTGAAGGATAAACTTAAAACTTAAGTAGAATGGTTGAAAGCAAAAGAATGAAAAAAAGAATAGGCAAATGCAAACAAAGAAGAGAAAGTATAGTTTGATTAATATTAGGCAATAGAAACTTCTAAGACAGCCAGGCACAGTGGCTCATGCCTGTAATCCCAACACTTGGGAGGCCAAGGCAGGCAGATTGCTTGAGGCCAGGAGTTCAAGACCAGCCTGGGTAACATGGCAAGACCCCGTCTCTACTAAAATTACAAAAATTACTGGTTTGGTGGCACATACCTGTTATCCCAGCTACTTGGGAGGCTGAGGCAAGATAGTCATCTGAACCCAGGAGGCAGAGGTTGGAGTCAGCCGAGATTGTGCCACTGTATTCCAACCTGGGAGACAGACAGAAGGAGACTCTGCCTAAAAAAAAAAGAAAGAAAACTCTAAGATAAAGTTTTATCTTTAAGGATAAGGAGGGCTTGCTAGATAATGGTAAAAGACTCAATTCACCAGGAATACATTTGTATTTACCTAAACCAATCAAATCAGGATATATTAAAGCAAACATTGATGTCATTATAGGCATAAATTGAGAAATCTATGGCTGTGTTGAGGGCCCTTGACACACCTTTCTCAATTATTGACAGGTCAAAAGGACAAAACATTTAAAAGATTTAAAATATTTTAACCACATGGTATGGAGATATACACAGAGTATTCTGTACTCAATATTTATAAATTATCCTTCTTCAGTGTCAGAATGTGGATATCTGAGTAGATGGTATTTAGAAGAAAACATCCTTAGATGAGGCTTACTAATTTACTTACTGACTCTGTCTGAACTTAGGGCAAGGTGCATTAAAGAGACTCATGGAGCTAGATGACCTCCTCAAGGTCTGTTTCCTAGTGACTGAGGCTAAAGACCCATATCTGGTTGAGTAGCCATGCATCAGAATATGCTATGCTATGGGGATGAGGAGGGGTGTGAGCTGGGAGCTCTCAGCTGTGGAAACGCCCATGGGGCTGGGCAAGTGCCTAACGGTGGAGAACAAGAGGATAGTGAGATGTAGTAGAGTCATAGCGGGCCCTTACCTGTAGTTTCTAAATATTGTAACCTGGAAATTCACACTGTTCCTCCAGCTCCTGGTCATCTATAGACCTTTCAATTGCAAAATGCCACTAAGTTTTCTGCAAAGTGCAACCTCTACTATTTGGGGAAAAAGGTAGGTTCTGGGTAATATGGGTATTTTAACAGTATCAATTCTTCTAATCCATGGACATGCAATCTCTTTTCATTTATTTATGTCTTCTCCAATTTCTTTCATTAATGTTTCATAGTTTTCAGTGTACAGATCTTTCATATATTTTGTTAAATTTAAAAATGGGCAAAGGACTTGAACAGGCATACAAAGGCTGGGCACAGTGGCTCATGCTTGTAATCCCAGCACTCTGGGAGGCCAAGGCAGAAGGATCACTTGAGGCCAGGAGTTTAAGACCAGCCTGGCCAACATGGTGAAACCCTGTGGCTACTCAAAATACAAAAATTAGCCGGGCATGATGACGCAGTCAATATTGAAAGCTATTGAATTAAGCACCTCTTTGACAGACTTAGGCTACGAAACACCACTATTCCAAACCAGGAAGATATCCTTAGCTCATCCATAATTGCAGTCTGGTGTTTTTGGCTTCCCATGAGGGAACAACTCCAAGTTTTCTTTGGCCAGTATACCAGCTGGAAACTGGGGCAGTGGAGATGGAGGTTTTCAGTTCAGACCATTTTTCCTGGGTTCTCCCACAGCACCTGAGTACAGCAACAGCTTTTTTAGTTTTGCCTCTCCAAGATGTGAATTAGAGCAGTAGCAAGTCTCTAGCAGGCCCTTCAAAGTAAAAAGAATTTGAGCCATGCATGGTGGTGCATGCTGGTAATCCTAGCTACTCAGGAGGCTGAGGCAGGAGGATCACTTGAGTCCAGAAGTTTGCAGCTACAGTGGGCTAGGATGGCGCTGCTACACTCCAGCCTGAGTGACAGAGTGAGATTCTGTCTCTTAAAAAAAAAAGTAAAAATAATTTAGCTAATTTTACAGAATATTTTTCTATTCATTTTCAGTGATTTCATTTAGCAAATATTTATTCCAGATGGGAGTCACCAATCTCCCTTTGTTTTTAAGTTTTTGAAGTGGTCTTCACATTACCAACTTATAAGAAAATCAGTGGCAGTGGGAAGTGGCTTTAGAAGTCTGGTTTCTTTGTCTCTATTATTTAAAGCATGAGCATTTTAAAAGTCAATTTTATTGTGAACTGTTGAATTTTCATCACTAGTGAGAAGGTCACAGCACTGTTTCTGTTTGGGCTGTTTCTGACCGAGCTGTGTGTTTATGCATAAACACCTGTGGTACATGTCTTCATGTCACTTTGAATTCTGGTATTTTCATATATCTGTATATGTAAGTGTGTTAATTTACACTGATATTTGGCTGTAAATATTTATGTGAAAATTTTGGTCTTGGAAAATGGTGGGTGATCTGTGGCTTATGATTTGGGTTGTATATTTATTTGAATATATTTATGTATTTACCCTCATAGTAACTTGTTTGGAGGTACACCTACACTTATATCAGTGAATGAGAACATGATTCGATGCATATATGTACAGTGCCTACTTGTATTTGAAAATAGTTAACATTGATAGTGCTATTTTGTAGTTGATTTTGTTTTTTGGCATTTACAGTTGGCCCTCTGTATGCCTAGGATCCGCATCTACAGGTCCAATCAACTGTAGATAGAAAACCTTTAGAAAAAAACAGTAAAAGAACCACAATAATAAAAACAATACAAATATAGTACAACAACTATTTGCATAGCATTTATAATGGTAGTAGGCACGATTTTCAAGTATTCGGAAGAATGTGTGTAGGTTATGTGCAAATATTATGCCATTTTATAAAACGGACGTGAGCATCGAAGGATTTTGGCATCCATGAGGGTTCCTGGAACTAATCCTACAAAGATACCAAAGGGTGACTGTATTTTAAACTAAATCTATTTACTTCTTTGCCTTTTTGTTAACTATTGCCTTGGGTTTATTTAGGAATGCACTTCTACTACATACAATTTAGCAATATGTTATTTATTTTATTTTGAGACTGAGTCTCACATTGTCGCCCAGGCTGGAGTGCAGTGGCAGGATCCTGGCGCACTGCAACCTCCACCTTTCAGGTTCAAGCAATTCTCCTGCCTCAGCCTCCCGAGTAGCTGGGATTACAGGCAGGCACCACCATGCTCCACTAATTTTTGTATTTTTTTAAAGCAGAGATGGGGTTTCACCACGTTGGGCAGGCTGTTCTCCAGCTCCTGACCTCAAGTGATCCACCCACCTTGGCCTCCCAAAATGTTGGGATTACGGGCATGAGCCACCGCGCCCAGCCAGCAATATGTTATTGATCTCCAGAGATTATACTAAAATAATTTTAAACATTTAAAAATTATTTTAATGATTTAATTTAATCATTAATCAGTAGCTTGATTAAACTCTTCTTCAATTTTTATAAAGGCATAGAATTGAACACCTGGTATCTTGCAAAATGATTTGTTTTATAGCAGGTAGAATACTAATCACAAATCACAAGTGATTGTCTTAATTTCTGGAAAGTTTACCAAAAAGGCTTTACCAGCATCTACCAAATGATTAATAATGTGATTAATCATACATGTCACTCTTTCATTTAATCACCTTTTCTAATCTGATATACTTTGTAAGTGTTGGAAAGTTTAAACATTATGGTTTCAAAATATAGGAAAGTTTGAAAGCATTTTGCAAACATACAGTTTTAAAAAATTTTTATATGATTACTTTTATAAAATGCTTTTATCTTACTGCATACTTTAAATTTTTTTTTTAAAAAAAACTTGATGGCACACGTTTGACTAATTGGCAAAGTCAGTCCTCCAGCAGCCATATTAGTCAAACTTATTTTCTCCCACAAAAGAATGACTTCATTTTTCAATTCAAATAAATGTCTCAATATGCATCCCAGTGGCAACCATCACACTTCTGAATCCTATTTCTAGGGTAGACAGCAAAAGGCACAGTGGCTTAGTGTGAGTTTGCCACCTGAATGAAACCGGTCCTGACTCGTTGGTATTTCTTACCCATACTTTCTTTGGTTTGCTTCCATGGAAAGCATCCTCAGGAAAATGCATTCTTGAATTGTTCCTTTGTTTGGAATTCAGAAGTTTTTACACTTTGAATACATGTGAGAGATAGGTAAGAAGTATTTTTTTTTTTTTTTTTTTTTTTTGAGACGGAGTTTCGCTCTTGTTACCCAGGCTGGAGTGCAATGGCGCGATCTCGGCTCACCACAACCTCTGCCTCCTGAGTTCAAGCAATTCTCCTGCCTCAGCCTCCCGAGTAGCTGGGATTACAGGCACGCACCACCATGCCCAGCTAATTTTTGTATTTTTAGTAGAGACGAGGTTTCACCATGTTGACCAGAATGGTCTCGATCTCTCGACCTCGTGATCCACCCGCCTCGGCCTCCCAAAGTGCTGGGATTACAGGCACTGGGATTACAGTGAACCACCGTGCCCAGCCTAGAAGTATGCCTTTTAAAAAAAAAAATTAAAGACGAAGGACTTAATGAAAAAGAGGATGAAAATGAGAACTTCAAGATGGCTCATTCTCAAGTAGATCAGCTTCAGGAAAAAGTAGATATGTAGTTTAAGAATCAATAATGTCCTTAGATCCCTCTGTACCTGTGCACTTCCTAGAAAATCTTCCTGTATCCTGAGGGATATAGGTACCCCAGCCTGAACAAGCCTGGTTGTCTGGGAGTATCATAAGATTCTAGGCTTGAATAGCAAAAGAAGGAATAAAAGGAATTTCTTTGTTAATCCAAGGTCATCTGAGATCATTATTGCTTCTGGCATACCAAGATCCAGTAGAGCATGCCCAGGCCCTCTGGAAAATCTTGTACTATCCATTTCTGTCATCAGTGGAGCGAAGAAAAGATGCTCACTAGTGTCTGGGATTGCCCCCGGAGTGACTGTGGGCAAACCAGCTCTGCAGCTGTTCCAAACAAATCCTTGAGATCATTTGAGTTTGGCCTCTCACCCAGGAACACGACAATAGGCAGGTGTCTGGGTAGGACAAAGTACAGCACCATGGCAGAGTATGGGAACTGGCCAGGGTCCTGAAACGGAATGTCTTCACACCCACCTTCACTCACCATCTGACCTCAGACCAATCCCTTCCCCATGCCGGTGCCAGTCTTCTTACCTGTGAACTCAGGGAAACTGGTGGCTCATTGCTAAGGTTTCTCTGCACCCACTTTGTGTCTCTCTCTAGATTGTGCTTACCTGCCACTTCTCTTCTCATCCACATAGGCACCTTCCTCTCCACAGCTTCACCTTCTCCTGGAGGAATGTAGCTTTCCTGCTGCTTCTCTCCCTTGCTTTGGAGTGGACCTCTGCATGGCTGGAGAATAAGGGCAAAGGTGGGTTCAAAAAAAAGCTGCATCTATTCTTCCTTAGAAATCATTCTTCCTTAGAAACCATCCTTGTACTTGGGGACGAGGGTTAGATATGAGGCCAGTACCAGTGTCAGATGAGGTCCCCTCTGCCATGGATTTGGGGCCATAGAAAGCTACCCCTGCTCACCACCCTGGGCCTCCACATCCTTTCTTCACTTGTATCCCCCCAAATTATTTCCCTAACTTTTCCATATGTACATATGGAAGGAGATGATGTATGTGGTCTCCTTCCTGACATGCACACCCCAAGGGTTTCTCTGCATCTACTGGGGATGCTCCCCAGAGATCTGGTCTCCTCTGTCTTATGACATCACTTGACACATACTTCTTGGGTGATCACATTCATTTCCACTACACACACACACACACACACACACACACACACGCACACACACATGTTTAATATTTTTAAAATTAATGAGCCATTAGGCATGAACCTGAGGGGACAGGATCAGTGAGGAGGCTGCTGAAGCAGTTGAGGAGAGACAAGGGATGAGGTCAGGTGCTGATCTGAGGGAGTGGTAGTAAAGAGAAGGAGGAAACAGGGTTTGGAGAGAGATTTAGGATATAGAATTGATCCAAGTCTATGACTGATAGGATGCTGGGCTGGCAGAGAGGAAGAAATGGATCTCCAGATTCTAATAACAGACTGGACCTGTTGATGCCAAATGCCAAGATGTGGAATAGAAATAAGGTGGTGCTTGGGCATAAGGAGATAATAGTTCTGTTTTAAATATGTTGTAACAGAGGTGCTTCTGAGATGCCCAGATGGTGTTTTTCCTAAGGAGGTCGAAATAAGAGTCTTTAGCTTGGAATAGAGGATGAGTCTGGAGGAAGATATGAGAATCATAGCTGGGATCATAGGAATGAGTGGGATCAACCAGGAAGTATGTGTCAAGTAATGTCAGAAGACAACTGAGACCAGATATCTGGGGAGCATCCTCAGTAGATGCAGAGAAACTTGCGGGGTATGCATATACTCACAGGTAATTGGTTGAGAAGAGCTGACCAGAAATAGAGGAAGTATTTTTAATTAATAAGTGAGAGTTCAAGCTGACAACGGGGAAAGGAGCTAAAATGACTGAAACCCAGTAAAGGTTTAAATGGCTCCAGGAAGCAAGATGGAGAATGGGGTCAACACTAGTAAGAGAGAAGTTTGTCTTCACAATCGCAAGGTTTCCCTTTCTATGCCTTTTTACCCCTTTGGAGGTGTCCCTGTTTGATTTGCTGAACTCCGTCTCTCTGCCTAAACCTAGAACAATGGTTCCCAAGTCCACCTACTTCCTGGTGCCTGCTGCCTGCTTTAGGATCACCCGGGGTTCTTTTTAAAAAGTAGAGTCCCAAGGATGCACTTTCTAGAGATTCTGATTCAGTTTAGAGTCTCTATTTTCTGAAAGATGTGTAGTTTTTTTTTTTTTTTTTTTTTTTTTTTTTTTCTGAGACGGAGTTTCGCTCTTGTTACCTAGACTGGAGTGCAATGGCGCGATCTCGGCTGTCCGCAACCTCCGCCTCCTGGGTTCAAGCAATTCTCCTGCCTCAGCCTCCTGAGTAGCTGGGATTGCAGGCACGTGCCACCATGCCCAGCTGATTTTTTGTATTTTTAGTAGAGACAGGGTTTCATCATGTTGACCAGGATGGTCTCGATCTCTCGACCTCGTGATCCACCTGCCTCGGCCTCCCAAAGTGCTGGGATTACAGGCTTGAGCCACCGTGCCCGGCCAGATGATTTTTATTTACTCTCCAAATTAGGAACCACATACTCTTCTTAGCTATAGTCCATTCTTGGAGGGGTCATTAATGACAAGAAGTATTGATGGAAAGTACTCAAAGTCTCAGTGGCCAGTCCTCAGGGAAGATGTGGGCTTCTGAAGTGAGTCCTGGATTGCAAGCCACAGACCTGCCCCTGATGTGCTGCATTATCCTATCTGACCTCATTTCTTTTAATCCATGAAATCAGAAGTTTAGTGACAATGATAAATATGGTTCTTTCCACTCTAAAGTTCTACAATCCCAAGACTCAGTAGTATCTGAAAGGATCATGCCTCTCTGGCCAGATTCCACTGGAGGGATGTTCAGTTTAGAATCATGGAGACACATTGTGCACTGTATGAGCTACCCTTTGCTATGTTACGTAGCAAAATTGCCTGTGGGTCAGAAGTCTGGCATGGTGCATCTGGGTTCTCTGCTCTGATTCTTACCAGGCTGAGATTGTAATGTCAGCCAGGGTTGTAGTTCTCATTTTGGATGCAGGGTCCTCTCCCAAGTTCCCTGGTTGTAGCAGAATCATTTCCTTGGAGTTGTAGGACTGAGTCTTTCTTACTGGCTGTCACTTCTAGATGTCGCCCTCTTGCCTTGGCACTTGGCTTCAACCATCTTCAAAGCTACAAATAGCATGTTGGATTCTTCTCATCATTTGAATCTCTCTGATCAATTCTTCTCCGCCAACCAGAAGAAAACTCCGCTTTTCGATGACCTCATTGACTGGGTCTGGGCCAGAGATTAGATCTTAAAATTAGAGATAATCTCTAATCTTAAGGTCAACTAACTTGAGTCTTTAATTTTTCCCTTGCCTCTCCTAGTTTTTAGTAAAATAAATAAATAAATAAATAAATAAAAGGTAGAAAGCAACTCCATATTTGCCAAGGTCTTACCGTGTGCCAGGCATGATAGATATCACCCTATTCAACATTTATAATCAATCTGGAAGGCATGAATTGACATTATCATTTTAAAGATGGAAGAACATAACTCAGATGAAGGGAAGTATGTTCCAAGACTATTTAGCTGTTTAGTGTTGGAGCCAGGCTCCTGAGCCAAATCTGCCTGACTACAATGCTTCTTCTACTCCACAATTTCCTACTCCTTAGAGGTTGCTTAAAAATCACACAACTGAGTTCAGATTGGTCTTGAGTTTACCAGGAGTCAAAGGACAAATCAGACCTCCTGACCCCTACTTCCATGATGTCCCCATCAGACTACTAATTTCTTTTATCAACTGGAGGCAAAGGAATTAACCATTAAATATGAGGTTTCAAGAAGAGAGAGGATCTTTTGCATTTAGAGAAAGGGTCTTTGTCCCTTCCTAACCCTTTGCCCTGGAATCCAAGATGCTTCTCCTTCAGTTCTGCTTGGACACAAATTCCTGATTCAGATCTATTTAAATGGATCTGAGTGCTAATAAACAGAACTAGCCCCTAAATATAAGCAGAACAAGAACTATGAATTGAAGGCAGAGGACAGATCTGGGAGATTTTCACTATACACCTTTGCCATAGGAGAAAAAAAGCTGAAATTCTCAAGGAATGTGAGTTTGAACGTTTCTTTCTTGCAGAGAAACCAGGGTTGTGTCCCAGAGAGAGGCTCAGCTGTACCACTGAACTTCCGAACTCATGCCTCACAGATTCTGACTGCGATAACTACCTGAAGTGCTGCTTTTTTGCCTGTCAGAAGAAGTGCCTGGATCCCTTTCGAGGTAGCGATATCTGGGCTGAGGACAGAGGTTCCCACTTCTTGCTCTACCCAAAACTTGCTGAGAGACTCCCTTGGATGGAAGGACAAGGACCCAGGGCTTGTGGTTTTTTCATTCTCTTATCCAATGCCTAACCCTCAAGTATAAATCATAAGTCTGGGCATGGTGACTGTCAACCACCATATTGATGCTGGTCTTCTTTGGTCCAACATTCAACCATTCACAAATAACTAATACATGTTGCATGCTCACTCTGTCTAAGAGACTATTTTTGGCACTGTGACTAAATGAAACTTCAGTCAGCTTAGACGCTGGCATTATTCTTCCGACTTTTCGATCTTCAAGGAGGTTTTCTGGTAACCCAATGTATTGGGCATCTAATATGTGTAGGGAACTGTATGTTTTTATAAAAACTAATTTATTCACTCACTCACACATTCATTCAACAAATATCTGTTGTTAATGCTCTTTGGACCAAGACCACGAGAATACAACTGTAGTTGAACAAGTTGGATTTATTACTCATTGCAGTGAGGGAAAACGCTCACCCTAGACAAGTCTGAGGCATTTCAGTAGGAAGCTGCTAGAAAGAATCTATTACAGGATTTGGGATTTGATTGGGTAATTCAGGGGAGGGTCTAAAGTAGTGAGAGTTTGCTCCAGATTGGGTGCTTCAGAAAGTGGGGGCAATTCTATGACTAGCTATCCCAGTGAATCTTAACTATACGGAGTGCAGACTCAACTGAGGATAAAGCTGTGATTGGTTGGCAGAGAAGCATAAGCCATGCTAGCTCACGTTAGCTGGGAGGTGGGGGGCATTTAGTATTTTGCAGGTTTCACAGTGATCTTGTTTTTGTCTCACTTCATCATGATCTCAGAGTGACTTTGTTTGATATAGATGTTCTAGGAGACGTTTTAAATGTCCAACAGGATCCATGTGGCTTAGCTGGGAGTGTCAGATCAGTGTTCAGACATCAGGGGCTGTCTCTTCCTTGGTATTTCATTCCTTCTAGGTAGTAGGTACTTTGTTAGGCACTTTGGATGCAAAAGTAATTGTGGTTTTGGACTGGGAATTTTAAATTATTATGACTAGCCTCAAACACATCTTTATTGGCTGGGCACAGTGGCTCACGCCTGTAATCCCAGCACTTTGGGAGGATGAGGCAGGGGGATCACCTGAAATCAGGTGTTTGAGACCAGTCTGACCAGCATGGTGAAACCCTGTCTCTACTAAAAATACAAAAGTTATCCAGGCATGGTGGCAGGCAACTGTAATCCCAGGTCCTCAGGAGGCTGAGGCAGGAGAACTGCTTGAACCCAGGAGGTGAAGGTTGCAGTGAGCCGAGATTGCGCCAATGCACTCCAGCCTGGGTGACACAGCGAGACTCTTTCTTAAAAAAACAAAACAAAACAGAACAAAACACATCTTTATTAATCAAAAGAAGAGCTACTACAATCAACACATTTTTGCCAAAGAGAAATAAATTGTTTATTCCTGTAGTGTAAAAATCTGTGCTTCAGTATTCGATGAACTCTTGGAAAGCATTTTCTGCATCCTGCTGTTTGTGGATGTGTTTTCCCTGCAAAAACACATCCACAAACAGCAGGATGCAGAAAATGCTTTCCAAGAGTTCATCATTGTTGAGATGCTTGAAGAAGTGGTAGTCCGTTGGCGAGAGGTCAGATCAACATGGTGGATGAAGCAAAACTTCGTAGCCCAATGTGTTCTTTTGCATTGGTTGTGTGATGTGTGGTTGGGCGTTGTTGTGAAGAATTGGCCCTTTCTGTTGACTAATGCCAGCTGCAGGCTCTGCAGGTTTCAGTGCTTCTCATTGATTTGCTGAGCACATTTCTCAGATGTAATGGTTTCGCCAGGATTTGTAGTCTAAAAGAAATATCAGATAAACAGCAAGTAATGTCATTAGCAAAAATACATGAAGCAGAAAGTGTGCAATAAATTGATGGATAACATAATCACATTTATTTAAGAATATATTCTAATCTCAAATGGCAATTTTCAACAATGCAAAAACCACAATTACTTTTATACCAACCTGATAGTTGCTGAACAAGTCTTGCCCTTGCCCTCCCACAGCTCAGAACAATGGAGAAAAAGGATCAGCTCCAAAGTATAAGGTTCTTTTTTTTTTTGAGACGGAGTTTTGCTCTTGTTGTCCAGGCTGGAATACAATGGCACGATCTTGGCTCACTGCAACCTCTGCCTCCCAGGTTCAAGCAATTCTCCTGCTTCAGCCTCCCGAGGAGCTGGGATTACAGGCACATGCCACCACACCCAGCTAATTTTGTATTTTTAGTAGAGACAGGTTTCTCCATGTTGGTCAGGCTGGTCTCGAACCCCCGACCTCAGGTGATCCGACCACCTTGGCCTCCCAAAGTACTGGGATTACAGGAGTGAGCCACCATGCCCGGCCACAAGATTCTTATATGCGCTTTATAATATTCTTTACAAGGAAAGAGTGAGGCTCAGAGGTGCCATACAACACAGACTATTAGTAGTAGAACTAGGACCAGAACCTATGCCTTTTTCCCCCCTGCATTGACTCCGTTTATGACTTAGGTGATAACACCAGGAGCTATGACAAATTCTAGAGAACTGACCCTCTCCTTTTATCTCTACTCTTCATGTCCTTCCCTCCTTGCTGCCTGACCTCAGAACCCTGCACGCTACCTGTGAGCCAAGGAGACTGCAAAGATAGAGCACGGCGCTGGCATTTTGACTTTGAAAATTACCGCTGCAGATCCTTCACCTACAGCGGCTGCAAAGGAAATGCCAACAACTTCTTAAGTGAGAATGACTGCAAAACGTCCTGCATGTTAACTGGTGAGACCCATTTCCTGGAAAGCTGAGGGCCTAGTTTAACTAGAACTAGTGTACTGGTGAGGTTATAGGCTCAGGATTTGAGGTTAAACTTCCTTGGTTCAAGACTGAGCTCTGTCATTTACTAGCTGGGAGGTCTTGGGCCAGTTGCCTGCCTTGATAAGTTTCAGTTTCCTTGTCTGTAGAATGAGGTTAATAATAGTATTTACCTAATAGAGTGGCTCTACCAAAAACTAGAAAGTGTATAGAAAGTGTTAATAGATCTTGGCCAATGGGACCGGAAAGCCATGTGTGGCTCCTTGGAAGAAGTTGTTTCCTCATCGTAGTAACCTGTTGAGCATCATACTGAGGATTCGTATTAGAATGAAGTGTAGAAAGGCCAGCTCTGGAATCCCATGGAGTAAGTGTCCACACTGGAGGTGGAGGGTAGGGTGGGGTGAAGGTGAAGGCTGTGGATTTATTCCTTAGTATAATGATCATCACCAGTAACACTGGGAGACAGTGTCCTACCAAATTTAGGAGTCAAATGACCTGAATTAAAAGCTGACTTTTCCCACTAGCTGTAGGTTCTTCACTTCTTTGAGTTTCAGTTCCCTCTTCCGTAATTCTGGAGTAACAGTAAGCAACTCATTGAGTTGTTGGCAGGATTATATGTGATTAAAAACACCAAGACTTGATACAGTGGCTGTCTCATGGTGTGGGTTCACTAAATAGTGACAATTGAGACGATGACCAGTGATCTTTACAATGCAGCACTGCGTGATTTACTGGGCAGCATTGCAATTTCTACCTCAGATTCTGTGAGGCACGCTGAAAAATGTACCATTGCTACCACTTAACAGATGAGAGAAGAGTCAGAGACGTAAAGTTCGTTGCCCAAGGACCCACAGTTGGTCAGGGGTAGAGGTGGACTTTTAATTCCATGGACCCATGGGCCTGAATGGCCAAGGCAATCCTGGGGCCTGACTTGAAACTAGGACCACAAGCTTCCCTTCATGGGAAGCTCTAAGGAATCATGAGGCTGCGGATGAGACTCTTGTCTCCTCTCCTAGGAGGAAGGAGGAGACCAGGGAAGTGGGCTTGGGCTGATACGCGGGAAATTTAGGTTAACACTCAGAGGCAACCTGATAATACCTCTGAAAGTTCAACACATCATAACTGAGCCTGACCTGGGGAAGCCCTTGTAGAATCTGCAGTCAGATGAAGACAAGAGCATACATGCACAAAACCCCAAAGAACTGATTTAAATGCTACATATGTCCTAATGACCCTCAGAGTCACATCTCCAGCCCAAATCTGACTCCCAGACTCCACTATCTGCTCTATATCTCCACCTGTACCTCACAAACACCTCACATTGAACTTGTTTAAACAGAACCTTGGGCCAGGCATAGTAGCTTACACCTGTAATCCTAGTACTTTGGGAGGCTGAGGTGAGAGGATCACTTGAGCCCAGAAGTTTGAGACCAGCATAGACAGCATAATGAGATCCAATTTCCACAAAATAAAAAAGCAAACAAAAAACCAGGCATGGTGTCACGCGCCTGTGGTCCCAACTATTCAGGAGGCTGGGAAGATCACTTGAGGAGGTGGAAAGATCACTTGAGCTGGGGAAGTTAAGGCTCAGCTGGGTGACAATGGGAGACCGTATCTCAAAAAAAGAAAAATAAGCTAAACATAAACATACACAGAAACCAGTATCTCTTACCATTACTCTCCTAACCTAAACCTGTTCTATCCATACTCCTCACCTTGGTTGAAAAACTTCAAAATCACACTTGATGCCTCTCTTTCTCAATTAACATCCATTAAGTTGGAAAATAATTTTTGTTCTACCTTGAAAGTGGATCCCCAATCTGGTAAAACCTGACCACCTCCACAGCTACCACCCTGATCTGAGGAGCCATCTTCTCCTTGGATTACCCCAACAGCCTCCTAAAAGGTCTCCCTGCTTCTACCCTCCTTACAAATCAACACAGTAGCCACAATGACCCTTTCAAAACATGAGTCAGGCCGTGTCACTTCTCTACTGAGAACACTGCAATGGATCTTCATTTCATTCTAAGTAAAGCCAAATACCATAAAATGACTTACACTGATTTGTGTAGATTTCACATAATTATCCCATTTTGTAAAAAAGGAAACTCACTAAGTAGCAAGATTGGGACTTTACCATGGGGTTTGAGGCACCAAGCCCAGCACGCTGTCTGCCATATCCCATGATATGGTGAGACATTTTATTCTTCCACAGCCTACTGGAGATGGATAGGGTAGGGTGAACCAAGTTGCAGAAAGATACTAGCTTTGAAGAGAAGGAAAAGCTCTTTGAAGAGTGGTGGGATGGAGATGGGGTTTTAAGAAGCTCACATCTGCTCTTGTTTTAGTTAAGAGTGGACAATGCCCACTCTTCCCTTTCACTGACCGTAAGGAGTGTTCATCTTCATGTCACAGTGACGTCGATTGTCCCCTATCAGACAAATGTTGTGAATCCAGGTGCGGCTTTGTTTGTGCCCATGTCTGGACAGGTAAGGATTGGGGATATGCCTCCCAAATCTACTGGACATGTGCCAAGGATGCCATTCTGTGCCATGGAGTGGGGGGTATCTTGAACCTCAGATGCCCCTTGGGCTTACCTTTGAGGATCCTTGGGAACCCCTTTAATGCCCAAGTTATATTGACCTCTTGACCTCTGAAGACTATTGTGCTGTTCTTCAAAGCCAATTATTAATAGTATTGCTCTCTATTCTTCCCCAAGAAAACTTTGGCTTGCAAGGTGACAATATCCACTGATTCATAAAAAATTCATAACCATGAGGTGTATTCCTAATAAGCCCTCATGTCTGCACAGAACTTCAGAGCATGCACAGCATATTCACATCCTGTAAGATGAGCTAGGGAAAACATTGGTAGCAAATGCTGTTGGGTAGAAGCCAACTTTTCAGCCTCCTCTAAGGCAGGTGTTTACTCCCCCATGTAGTACCAGGTATTGTCCAGGTGTGGCTTTGAGGTTCTAAGTTTCAGTATAGTGTGGTGGCAGGAGTCAAAGACTTTTCAACTGGCTTCAGCTTTTGTACTGGGCATTGGACAACTCACTTCCCTCTACATGGTCTTCAGTGCCTACAATTTATAAAACAAGAAAGTTCTGTGCGCTATCTAATACTCCTGCCATCTGTGGTACTCTGGGATTATATAACCCAGATCCGTGAATTCTATAGGAGCAGACAGGAACCCCAACAGATGGTACAAATCAGAGATCTCAAGACTTTTCTTGATGCTTCTCAAGTTATTAGCTGTAGAAAGTTGATACTCTGCCTCCCCCAGTCTATTGCCACTATAGGGGGAAAGGTAAGAAGCTCAACCAGAATAAAACCCTGTTTGAGATTCCCAAGATTCCCCAAATTTGTCTCAAATTATGATCAAGTATTTTAAGGTCAAATTTCTTCTTTTACCCCATAAAGTCAAAACAGGTTTCTGCCCACACAAGCCCTCGGCATGTGCCAAGATTGATAAACCCAAGTGCCTGCAGGATGGTGAGTGCCCATGGGGGGAAAAGTGCTGCTCACGTTGTGGACTGAAATGTATGGACCCCAAATATTGAATAGCAAATAGAAAATATTACTATCAAAATCATTAATTATGAGTAGCATAATAAAAAGCTGTCGGTTTTGTCTTACATCCAACTACCTTGCCAAATTATCTTATTAAGTATCACAATATTGAATGATGTTACTTCAATTTTATATATAAACCCATCATCTTAAAACGAGGATATATCTGACTCTTTTTTCAACATCATGACTTTATTTTCTTGTCTTCTTGTACTGTATAGAACCTTCAAAATAATAATGAAAATAAAGGCAATGGCATTCATCGCTGTCTAGTTCCTTATTTTAAAGTCAATGTCTCCTGCAATGTAAAAAGACATTTGTTGTTGAATTTGGAATGAGTAAGTTTTATTACACTTAAATTTCCCTTCCTTCCTTCCTTCCTTCCTTCTTTCTTTCCTTCCTTCTTTCCTTCCTTCCTTCCTTCCTTTCTTCCTTCCTTCTTTCCTTCCTTCCTTCTTTCCTTCCTTCCTTCCTTCTTTCCTTCCTTCCTTCTTTCCTTCCTTCCTTCCTTCCTTCCTTCTTTCCTTCCTTCCTTCCTTCCTTCCTTCCTTCTTTCCTTCCTTCCTTCCTTCTTTCCTTCCTTCCTTCCTTCCTTCCTTCCTTCCTTCCTTCCTTCCTTCCTTCTTTCCTTCCTTCCTTCTTTCCTTCCTTCCTTCTTTCCTTCCTTCCTTCCTTCTTTCCTTCCTTCCTTCCTTCCTTCCTTCTTTCCTTCCTTCCTTCCTTCCTTCCTTCCTTCCTTCCTTCTTTCCTTCCTTCCTTCCTTCCTTCCTTCCTTCTTTCCTTCCTTCCTTCCTTCCTTCCTTCCTTCCTTCCTTCCTTCCTTCCTTCCTTCCTTCTTTCCTTCCTTCCTTCCTTTAGACAGTTTTGCTCTTGGTGCCCAGGCTGGAGTGCAGTGGCATGATCACTGCAACCTCTGCCTCCTGGGTTCAAACGATTCTCCTGCCTCAGCCTCCTGAGTAGCTCGTATTACAGGTGCCCACCACCATGCCCGGCTAATTTTCTGCATTTTTAGTAGAGATGGGGTTTCCCCATGTTGGCCAGGCTGGTTGTAAACTCCTGACCTCAGGTGATCCACCTGCTTCAGCCTCCGAAAGTCCTGGGATTACAGGCGAGAGCCACCATGCCTGGCTATTTACTTCCTTTTTAAGCTTATTTCCTATCAATTTATAGCTGCTACTAAAAATGACTGCTGAATTTTATCAAATTTGAGCATACAGTCACATGATAATTTTTCTCTTCTAATTTGTTGGCATAATAACTTGTTAATTTTTTTTGAGCCATCCTTGCATTCTTAATAAGCTTAATTGCAATGTATTATATCAATATACTTAGGATAACCTTAATTGCAGTGTATTGTATCAATATGTTATTGATTCTTTTTAGCTAATAGTCTATTTTGAATTTTCACATCTATAGTCAAAAGAAAAATAGGTCTATGTTTTTTATTTGTTTTTCTATTTGGGTCACATTACTTAAAAAACATGAGTATGGGAACTAATTGGGAAATATATCTACCTTTTCTATGATCTGAAATATTTTACATAATATATCAATTCTGTGTTGTTTGAAGGCTACCAAAATTCAGCTCCAAAATCATCTAGGTCAGTGTCTTTCTAGTGGTATATTTTAGTAATTTTAAAATATTTCATCTTATTTTTCATCTGCAGGTTTTCTACCTCCTCTTCTGCAAATTTTAGTCTTTTGTATTTTGGTAAAATTAATCCATTTTTTTCCTATATTTTTACATGTATTACTTTAGAGTAGTATAAATTGTTCTCCATACAATTCTTTTTATATCTTTAACTTTGGTTAGTGTTTTTACTTGTACATTCATGTTTCTACCCACCTATTTACTTACTAACCATTCAATCCTGTTACTCACCTATCCATTCAGTCAAGACATGCAGATACCCAATCCCCACTCACCTACCCCTCCCATCCCTTCCCTGACACACCTTTCAACTTAGTATTTGCCCACTCCATATTTCTATCCACTTGCCCTTCTTAATCATCTTTCTTCTACAGACTCACTTGCCCATCCAGCCTTTAATTCATCTTCCTATTATTGATCTCTCTCCTCCCACTTGATCTGCACACACACACACACACACACACACACACACACAGTTTCATACCCATCAAAATACACATTCATAATTTCTATACCTACCTCCCTCCATCCACCTACCAATGCACTCATCCACCTTTCATTCGAATGGCCTCCATCAATAGGCTCACCTATCCCATCACTACCCTATCCATCCTTATATTCAATCCAATCCACTTATTCACCAATCATCTACCCATCCATAATCCATGCATTCATGTGCCCAAATATCCATGCTTCCTTCACTAATCCCTCTTCCTGTTCAACCATCTTCCCACTCATCACTCTACCAGCCATCCACCCATCCACATATCTACCTACCTATTCACACACCTACCAATTCCCAACACCTACCTTGCTCATCCAGCAGGATGTACTGAGTGTTTATTTTGAGACTATTCATGTTGTAAGCACTACGTTCTAGACACAGACCTGTTTAATGGACTTTGGAGCTTACTTGGTAGAGCAAACATGTAAGTTAATAATAAAATTAGAGGCAGAGGGAACAACACAGGAAGCCAGTGACAGAAAATCAGTCCATGTGACAGGTCTTGGGCGAGTGAAAAAGCAGGAGGTGCCAGGTAGAAGCTGATCTGCTTGGTTCTCATTGGCGTCCCCTGTTCTGAAGAGAATTGACACTGAGACAGAGGTCAGACACCATGGCCCTCAATAGAGGGGATGACAAAAGGAGAGGCAAAACCTCAGATGAGTCCTTACCCAGCCTTCTCCAAAAAGTTTCTGGAGAGAAGGGGCCAAAACCATGATTCATCCCAAGTCCCAAAGTCATAAATTTTATTTTACCTGGTTAGAAAGTGAGATGCTTGGATCGAGCCTGAAAATTAGGCAAGACAGAATGGAATGCAACAACCACAAAGGTAGTTAATTTATTTTCAATAAAATTTAGGAAAAAAAATACAGCTTTAATTAGGGACCCTGGGTACCATTTGGAAATTTACTGACTCTGTGGGTGTTCAGCCTCCATCTCCACTAAAGACATCTCTTCATTCCCTTGAACTCACCCTTCTTCTCTATCTTCAACTCTACAAGAAAATATATCCACTTCTGGGCCTTATGATTCTTATCTATAAAATGAGAAATGGGGCTTGATGATCCCTCAGAGCCCTTCCACTTGGATATTCCAGTTTTTACTCCAGCCTGGGCTGAGTTTGTGAGAATATGGGAAATAAAATAAGTGAAACAGCACTGCTTAGGACATCTTACTTGTCCATTAGAAATTCTAGCCAGGCACGGTGGCTCACGCCTGTAATCCCAACATGTTGGGAGGCTTAGGTGGGTGAGGTGAGTTGCTTGAGGGCAGGAGGTGGAGACCAGCCTGGCCAACAGGGTGATACCCAATCTCTACTAAAAATACAAAAATTAGCCGTGCATGATGGTGCATGCCTGTAATCCCAGCTACTCGGGAGGCTGAAGCACGAATTGCTTGAACCAGGGAGGTGGATGTTTCAGTGAGCCAAGATTGTGCCACTGCACACCAGCCTGGGTGACAGAGCAAGACTGTCTTTAAGAAAAAAGAAAAAAAGAAAAGAAGAAAAGAAGAGAAGAGAAAAGAAAAGAAAAAAAGAAATTTGATTCACTAGTCTCTTTAAGAGAGATTGTGAAGTTGGTGGAATGGGATTCTTACAGGGGCTCTGTCTCTGATCCTAAATTTTGTGACCATACAGTCACTCTCTGATGATAAGCCTGTCTTTGGCCTCTGTCTGTCATGTAGGAAAACTTGGAGAACAAACTTGGCCCAAAAGGGCAACACCTAGTTAGAGAAGAAAACGGGAGCCTCAGGGATAACATTTACTCTATGAAGAGTGTCTTTCTCCTTCTCAGGACTGGCTGAGTGGCTGGTGTAGATTCTGTGGCTATAGGAAGGAGAGCTGCCCACGTTCTCCAGCACCGCTTTCCCACGGCTCCTCTACTGGCCCAGTTAGAATCCCGAAACTCTGCTGGGTTACTGAACTTTATTCCACTGTAGTCTCTCAGGCAAGTCCCTTTACTTCATAGTTCCTTAGACAACAAGGAGCTGGGCTTGATGGTTGAGGCTCCCTTTAAGCTTTGATATCCTCTCTTGCTCTGAAAGCAGCACAGAGAAACACTCTTTGAAGACTCTGTTGTCCTAATTTCTCCTCTACACCCTGCTCTGTGGCAACATCTTTATTCTTTGGTCTTGGTCAAAGAATGTGAGTGAACCAAAGATAAAATAAAAGAGAGAAGGATGGGAGGAAACTACGGGAGAGGGAGAAAGGAACACAGAGACCATGGGGAAAGAGAAACAGACACAGGCACAGAGAGGCACCGTTAAACGATGAGATACCAAGAGACCAACAGAGACACATTGTCAGAGATAAGCAGAGGGGTGTGCTAGTAAGTGTGCATGTACGCTGGAAAATGAATGAAGAACGAGGACACTCCACTGCTCTCCAAGTTATCAAGATGAAGACCCATGATGGTGGCATTCCCTCTGAAGGTAGCCTGGAAAGTGGGAGACACGCTTTGCCCACTCCCCAGGGCTGACTAGAGCCCCCAGCCCAGTGCAGCTTAGGGGTGTAAGGACCAAGATCCATTCAATAAAGAGACCCTTCCTCCCAAGCTGTGAGCTGGGTGAGTGGGGGGGGGGTTAGTTCCATTTATGACCTTGGGAACTAAATGTTCCCAGCAAGAAAGGGAGTGGCTGGCTTGTCTCCAGTTCTTATATCCAAGGTGCTGGCTACTGAAGGAATAGGCTGGGCCACAGCAGCTGATCATTCAAATTCTGGAACCACAGGAAAGGCCAGTCTCTCTTCAGCATGGGATCTTCTGGACTATTGAGCCTCTTGGTGCTATTCATCTTCTTAGTGAATGTCCAGGGACCTGGTCTGACTGATTGGTTATTTGCCAGTAAGTATTGGGCCTTGGCCCTTGCCCTAGAGAGAGGGGAGTTTGCTGGGAGGAGGGATCAGGGAACAACTCTTCAGATCTGGGTTGCTTTCCACCATCTTAGCCAGGTCCCAGGTTGGGAGAGGAGAGAGAGATTTGTAAGCTCCCTCCTGTGGAAGATCCCTTCTGGGAATGCAGAAACCCCTACTTCGGCAATCCTCACTTTCAGCGCCTTTGAAGTGGAGAGTCTTTATCAAGGAGTTGGAAGGGAGTCACAGAATCTAGCATTTAGGGTAGGTGCTACAGGAATCCACGAAACCAAGAGACCTTCTCCTTACCCCACAAGCAAAACAGTCCCCTTTTCTTGAACCGTCATCTCTATCAACTCCTGGTTCTTTCAAATGTAGTCCCATAAAGGGTCCCTGTATCCCTAGGGGTTCCCTAACTTTGAGATAAAAGACAGTATCCAGAAGTCCCTTTAAACTTAAGACACTAATGTTCCATGACTATAATGTAACAATAATTATCGTTATCATTTGCTGAACACTCAGGAAGGAAGGATTTCTGAAAAGGGATTTCTAAAACAACAGAGGGATCTGGAGTCAGACTAGGTGGGTTCAAATCTTGGTAGCCATGTAATCTTGGGCAAGTTACTTAAATTTCGTGGGCCTCAGTTTCCGCATCTGTAAAATGAGGATATTAACACAACTTCCTTCATAGAGTGATTATCAAGGTTGAATGAGATCATACATTTTAAATGCTTAGAAGAGTGCTCGGCTTATGGTAAGTACTGAGCAAATGTTAGTTAATATGACTGTGTATCTATCTGTTACTAAGATTAGAGCTTTATATACTTTGTCTCATTGCTTTCTCACAACTCCTTAAGGGCAAAACGATTTTACAGATGATGAAACCAAGGATCAGAGAGGGTCAGAATTCAGACCAAGAGTCAGAATTCGAAATTTAAACTGGCTCCTGGGTAAGTGATACTAATCGCTGTATAATATCACCACCTAGAGGAACTTCCAAACATTGATTCTTCAACAAGGCCAAAAATATCACATCATCTTAATCCAGTGGCCTGTAAAGGGGCTATTTTGCCTTCCAGGGGAACTTTGCAGTGCCTGGAGACAATTTTGGTTGTTACAGCCAGAGACTGCTACTGGGGTCTGATGGAAAGAGGCCTGGGATGCTGCTAAACATCCTACAATGCCCAGTTCAGCCCCTCAAACAAAGAATTATCTAGCCCAAATATCACTGGTGTTTGAGAAGGGATGGAGCTGGGGGGATGGGAAGAGAGGGAGGAATGGTCAGGAGGGAGCGGGGTGTAGGCCGTAGGGAAGTGAGTGAGGCCGCCTCGAGGAAAAGAACTCCTGGAGGGGAGCAAAGTGGAAACAAACTTCCCTGACTCTCCAGAATTGCCTTGTGTCCGGCAAAGCGGGGAGACACTGTGCTCTCCAAGGCTCACGGCTGTAAAACTGCTCCTTCCCTAGAGAGATGTCCCAGAATCAAAGAAGAATGTGCATTCAAAGAGAGGGATGTGTGTACAAAGCACAGACAATGCCCGGACAACAACAAGTGTTGTGTCTTCAGCTGCGGAAAAAAATGTTTTGATATCAAACAAGGTAATATTCAGAGCCTCAGAATAACCAACCCCTCCCTGCCACACCCTCACCTTCTGCCTTCCTGGGCTGGCTTTGTGCCCTTGTCGCTGAGGGCTGTCTCTGGCAAAACTGCTGGACTCGGAAGACCTGTGATTTAGATTCATAACTGTGCCGAATATGGTATGTGACAATAGTAATGACCTTATCCTATCAAGTAATGTTTGAGACTCAGTTTGAAACTGAGTCTCAAACATTACTTGATAGGATAAGGTCATTCTTTTTTTTTTTTTTTTTTTTTTTTGAGACGGAGTTTCGCTCTTGTTACCCAGGCTGGAGTGCAATGGCGCGATCTCGGCTCACTGCAACCTCCGCCTCCTGGGTTCAGGCAATTCTCCTGCCTCAGCCTCCTGAGTAGCTGAGATTACAGGCACGTGCCACCTTGCCCAGCTAATTTTTTTGTATTTTTAGTAGAGACGGGGTTTCACCATGTTGACCAGGATGGTCTCGATCTCTTGACCTCGTGATCCACTCGCCTTGGCCTCCCAAAGTGCTGGGATTACAGGCTTGAGCCACCGCACCCGGCCCATTCTTATCCTCACCAAAACAAATGAGTGGTGAAGGAGTGGGATTGAAACAGATTTTTTTTGGCTATTTGGTTACCTGTCACTCTTATAATTTTTTTGAGCCTCCAGGTGGCCATCGTTGCCCTAACATATACCAACATTGTTGCTGCAAGTGATAAATTAAGCCATTTATATTTTCTAGCTCTTTTGTATGGAGTGACCACCTCTCTGACTACACAAATCCAACTTTGCACCAAAATACCTCTCCTGACCACTCCAGAAGAGGGTTTTTCCTTTCTGCTGCATCTTAATTTCATGCCCATCTCCCTGGGATGTGAAAAGACTATCAAAGATTATTTTTTCATTCATTTAACAAATATTGGTTGAGTGCCTCTGAGACCCAATTTCGGATTTGATCTGCTCAGCGTGATCAGGGAGGTTGGAATTACCTTCTCTGAGAAAGCGAATCTGGAGTTGAGTTGAGAAAGATGGGTAATGCTTTAGGCAAAAAATGGTGGAAGGGTTTTCCAAGCACAGGGAGTAGCATCCACAAGGCTCAATGGTGGGGCCTGAGGAGGCCAGAATGCAGAGTGAGCACGAGCATGGTACAGGGAAAACAGATCCTGGATGGGCAGAGATCAAACAATTCAGGTATGGTGGGCCAGATGAAAGAGTCTTGCCTTGATCCTAAGGGCCATGGCAATCCACCAAGGTGGGCCAGTCACATGACCAGGTTCATACTACATCTACAGAGGTTAAAATAGGAGGAACAGAGTGTCTTAAAGGACTTCAGGATGATAGAAGTGGTGGCCAGAACTAGAAATAGCTGAGGGAATGAAGAAGAGTAGGATGTGTTTGAAAGGTACATGGGAGGTAAAGTAAACAAGACTTGACAGAAGTAGAGTGGGCAGGCCGGAGGCTAAGTCACTCATATGTCAGCAGGTAAGGATTCTGAATGCAGACATCCTGAGTTCAACTCTTACCTCCAGTTTGTACCAGCCTTTTTGTCTTGGATAAATTAACAACTTTCCCTTCCCGTGCCTCAGTTTCCTCAGATAATAAAGGGATCGGTGCAAAAGGTTATTTTGAGGATCAGATAAATTGATCTGCATGATGTGCTTAGAGCAATGACTGGCACATAATAGCCACCTGATAACCTATTCTCTTGTTTGTAATTCTTGGCTGGGGGTTCCTAAATAGCAGAGCTCATGCCTTTTCTTGTTCCTAGAAGCATATGAGCACATAAATAAATAAAAAATGAATGCACAAGATTCTGAAGCAAGGTGTGGTGGTGAGGAATATAGAATGGAGTCAAGGGAGACATCACAGCAGTTGATGTCTGAGAAAGGTTTTGAAGGAAGAAGAGGAGTGTCACTGTGAGCAGTGCAAAGGATAGAGGTATGGGGTAGTGTGCTGAATATTTCTGAAGCATGTGGCTCAGAGGGTTCTGCGGCAGGGGAGGAGGCCAGCATCACAGTAGGAGCCAGGCAATGAAGGGCCTTGTGGGTCAAGTGAGGACATGGTCGTGAAGTCGAGGTAGGTCTTATCTGTGGAATGACATGATGAGCCTGACTTTCAGATCCATCAGATCCTTCTCTCTGGTGGGAGGCATGAAGGATCGATTGGAAGGGCCAGGACTGGAGGCAGAGGGATCAATCTGAGGTTATCTCAACAGCCCAGGCACGAGACACTGAGGCTTATATTAAAGAGACTGGCAGAGAGGTGAACTATTAGGAGGTAAAAATCAACAGGACCTAATTGCTTAGCAGTGGAGATTTACTCATATGGAACTGTGTAAGCATAATTTAGTTGGGACCTGTATTTGCTTGCTAAAGTTACTATAACGAAGTACCATTGACTGGGTGGCTTAAACAACAGAAATGTATGGTCTCACAGTTCCTCAGAAGTCCGAGATCAAGGTATCTGCACCGTTGGTCCCTTGTCAGGGTTATGGGGAAGAAGCATGTTCCATTCCTCTCTCCTAGCTTCTGGTGGTTTGAAGGCAATCTTTGGTGCTCCTTGGCTTGTAGACACATCACCCCAGTCTCTGCCTTCACATTCATGTGGTATTCTTCCAGTGTGTATGCCTCTGTCCAAATTCACCTGTTTTTATAAGGACATCAGTCATATCGCTACAGGGGCCCACCCTACTTTAGTCTGACCTCATTTTAACTAATTATACCTGCAACAACGCTATCTCCAGGGATACAGCTGCCCATCCTGGGGTCTCTTTGCAAATGTGTACAGTATGTCAGTGGAGCTGTACTCCTGCTGTGTGACAAGGGAAAAGGAGCCTATTCCAATTTCATCTATAGCGGTTTTCAGGGAGAATAATAACACCTGTTCATTTCTGGAGTAGGCACTCTGAGTTTTCAACTCTGGAGTCTCTCTGCAGATGTGTGCGAAATGCCGAAAGAAACTGGCCCCTGCATGGCTTTTTTCCGTCGTTGGTGGTATGACAAGAAAAATGATACTTGCTCTATCTTTATCTATGGTGGCTGCCAGGGAAACAATAACAACTTCCAATCTGAAACCAACTGCCTGAACACCTGCAGGAAAAAACGTGAGTCCTGGGGGTCCCGCTCGTTCATCTTCTCCAGTGCCAGGCTGGGAGGTCTGGGTGTTGGCTGGTTCATTTCAGGACAGCTACATCTTTGGCAGACCTGGTGCTGATAGAACCAGCTCCAACCAGGAGGTCAGAATGCACCTGGCAAAGGGGTAGACAAAGTTACTTTCTGGGAACTGAGGATGAGAGGGACGTAGAAGTAATCAATGTTGGCAAGTATGAGGGGAGTTAGGCGGGGTAGAGGAAGGGTACAGAAGTGGTGAAATCTCAGAGATGAACTGCAGAAGAGGCACAGGACGTTAAAGCTAGATAGGTTGACCAATCAACTCTTCCAAGCCATCGATGTCCTCAATAAAACTCTTTGCCAGCAATTCCTATTCATTTTTCTTTGAAGGAGACGGAGAACTCCCCAAAGCAAATCCACTTCTTTTTAGTATCTTTCTGTGAAAAGATGTATAAATGTAACTTCAACCTCCAAAGATAAGTTGAACCCAAGATGCTCAACTGTTTCTGTCCTATGTTCTTGACAGGCATTCCCTGAATGGATAAGCACGCACTGGAAGAACCACCAGAATGTGGCTCATGCTCTGTGGACTGTCCGTGTATCTGACTGATGCTCTAAATTGACTTCCAGTTTCACTCTCAGCATTCCGAGATCCTAGCCTTTCCCAAAACAGAACGCCTGCATCCACCTCCTCTTCCCCAGTCTTGGCCTCTTTTGATGCACAATATCCGTCTGTTTTGATTTCATTCTTATGTCCCCTTTATCTCCGGCCTCTAGAGCTCCCAGTTTATACTGTGTCACTCTCAATTTTTTCCAATAAAGTACTTGATGAAGTCCCGTGCCTCTGAGGCTGAATAATTGACATCTTTTTGGAACATTGTACTTGTAGAGTAAGGGATCATTGAGGCTTCTGGGAATATCATTCAAGGGAGTAAAGACAATCAGAACGTTGAAGAGTTGTGAGCTCCGGGGATACTGTCATTGTTATATACCTCTGTTTCCACAAAAGATTGTAAAATGCTTTTTAGGCAAGGGCCCAAGGACAATGACTTAGTCTGGATCCTCTAGAAACGACCCCTTGGAAAAGGGCATGGGTGCAGGTAGTTTGTTTGGGAGACCTCCCAAGACATACAGGATGGGGGAGTGGGATGAGTAATTCAGGGACGACAGAAGAGTCTATTATGAGCTGGTTATCACTGTGGCTCAATCCTACTGGGGACCTTTTAAAGAATCATGTAAAACAGGCTTCCACATTTTCTTTTTAAAAATTATTTCCTTTTATTTTATTTTAAGTTCTAGGATACATGGGCAGGACCTGCAGGTTTGTTACACAGGTAAGTGTGTGGCATAGTGGTTTGCTATACCTATCAAACCATCACCTGGGTATCAAGCCCACGTGCCCCTGATGCTTTCCCTCCCCCTGCCCCCTCAACAGGCCACAGTGTGTGCTGTTCCCCTCCCAATGTCCGTGTGTTCTCATTGTTCAGCTCCCACTTACAAGTGAGAACTGGCAGTGTTTTGTTTTCTGTTCCTGTGTTAGTTTGCTGAGGATAATGGCTTCCAGCTTTATCCACGTCCCTGCCATGGATGTGAACTCATTCCTTTTTATGGCTGAGTAGTATTCCATGGTATATATGTACTACACTTTCTTTATCCAGTCTATCATTGATGGACATTTGGGTTGATTCCATGTCTTTGCTATTGTAAATAGTGCTGCAATGAGCATACGCATACATGTATCTTTATAACAGAATGATTTATATTCTTTTGGGTATATACCCAGTAATGAGATTGCTGGGTCAAATGGTATTTCCAGTTCTAAATCTTTAAGGAATAATCACACTGTCTTCCACAATGGTTGAACTAATTTACATTCTTGCCAACAGTGTAAAAGCATTCGTATTTCTCCACAGCTGTGCCAGCATCTGTTGTTTCTTGACGTTTTAATAATCAGCATTCTGACTGGCATGAGATGGTACCTCATTGTGGTTTTGATTTGCATTTCTTTGATGATCAGTGATGCTGAGCTTTTTTTCGTATGTTTGTTGGCTGCGTAAATGTCTTCTTTTGAGAAGTGTCTGTTCGTGTTCTTTCCCCACTTTTTGATTTTATTTTCTTGTAAATTTGTTTAAGTTCCTTATAGATTCTGGATATCAGATCGCACATTTTCTTAATCTGTCTCCTGTTATGGGAAGCTAAGCTATTTGTCCACTGACTCCCAATGCCCACTGGGTGTCAGAGATGCTAAATCCCTTGCTCTTTCAGACTTTTATGCATGCAAGCTCTACAGGCTCCCAAGGGGCCAGAGAAAACCCACAGCAGAAAAGTAGGGACTAATTTTGGAGGTAGGAGGCTGTCAATGTGCATTGGCTATTATTCAGTCATAAACAGGAATTAATTTCTCACTCACCACTGATGACATGCCTTGCTGCACACAGACACCCTGCTGCCATCCTGCAGAAATGCTTTCATTACCCACAGTCCTTTGCCAGATGGGATTGATGCCCAGGTACCTGGCTCCTCACCTCACTCGGGCCTATACCAAGGATATAAAATTTGGTGCAGATGCTCAAGCCTTAATGCTTCAAGGTGTAACTTTTTATCCAATGCTATAGCTGTGACAACAGGGACAAAGTGAGAACAGAGTTAGAGAAGTCCCAAAGTAACAAAAGATTTTATCAATTGTTGCAAAATCAACTGACTTAAAGAATAAATATAATTGATCTTTACATACAAAAGAAGAGAGAGAGAAGTGAAAGGCAGGGAGAAAGATTCAGACAGCCACTCACTGAAAAAGAGAAAAAGACAGGCACAGAGTAAAAAACATAAAGAGATACAAAAAAGAGAAGAAACTGAGTGAGAAAAATAAAACATAAGAATAGATGTGTCAGGAGAAGAGTGAAATTCGAAAGAAGTAAGAGAACTAGCATACTCTTAACCTTCAAATGCCCCTGAGAAATGGAAGACTCTCGAGTTAAACAGCCCCTTCTGCTAAGGGAGCCCAGAAAGCCCAAGACAAGATGTGCCCTCTTTCTCTGGTAGGCCAGAGAGCCTCCAATTGCTGAGAATTGGAAACCGCCTATCAAGCCCCACCTTCCCCCAGGGGTAGGTACCAGTTAGTCACACTGATGGCCTCAGGGATCTGGTGTTCCTGATGAAGGGAGTCTGCCTGGCTTGTCTCCAGGGTTGTCTCTTGGAGTGCTGAGCCACACCAGTGCAGGCAAAGTGCAGAGGTAGGAGCCGCTGAGCAGCCCTTCTTAGTTTTGGTGCCATCAGCCAGGCCAGTACTTCCTAACATGGGACTCTCAGGATTTCTGCCAATCCTGGTACCATTCATCCTTCTAGAGGACGTCCAGGGACCTGGGCACGCTGAAGGGTCCTTCTTTTATAGTAAGTATTGGGAACTCAGTCCTTGCAGTGGAGAAAGGAGACTCAGCGAGAAGGAAGGATCAAAGAATAATTTTGCAGATGAGTAATTATTTTCTCCATCTTTACCTGGAGTTCCAGGTGAGAAATAGGGGAGCTACCTGGAGTCTCTCAGTAAGAGACTCACTTGGTGAATATAGGCACCTGAATCTGGGGCAACTGACTCCTTGCTGCCATTCCAAAGAGTTCTTCCTGGAGGTGCCTGGACCTAGAGCTCATGAAATGGAATAAGGAGTGGAAAGCCCAAGGGAGTTTCCCATAAGGAAAACAGGCCGCTCCCTACAATACCACCTGTGTCAGCTTCCAGATGTTCTCCCTGCAGCCCCCCACACCTATACTCACAGAGGACCCTAGCCTTTGGGATAAAGAATGATCTTCAGAAGTCCCTTGGAATGCTGAAATGTGAAGACCCACAATTAGCAGCTAAATATACTGAGCACTGAAAATTAGTGGTTGAAAGTGAGCACTCAGGAGCCACACATTGCTGGTTCAAATCCTGGCTCAGCCCATGAGTAGCTGTGTGACCTTGGCAAATTCATATAATCCCCTTATGCTTCCAATTTCTCTGTTTATAAAATGTGAATATTAACAGTACTTACCCATAAATTTGTAATGAGTATTAAGGAGAAAAGGCCAGCACACAGTAGGGGCTTCATCCATATTACTCACTGTTATGTTGTTATGTTATGTTATGTTATGTTATGTTATGTTATGTTATGTTATGTTATGTTATATTGCCCCAGGCAGTTTGACAATGGTTTTTCCAACTGTGTTGCATCAGTCTTCAAAGCAACCCTACGGATAAATGAGAAAATCAGGGCTCAGAGAGAGTGCCTGGCACATCAAGGGTTGCACAGAATTCAAAAGGCCAGCACTCTGATGCCAGAAATGTTCATCTCAATAACTGAGAATCATAGCGCCTCCTGGGGGAGCAACCAAGCATAGCAAGGCTGAGTGACCAGAATAGTCTCAGAGGAGTGCGTCTTTCTCTCAGGAACTTCATAGATGGTGTGGGTAGAGGGTAGGGGTTGGTTTACGGATCCAATGGTGAGTTGTTATGGGGTTGGGGATGTGGGCAGTCTTGTGAAATTCCTGAGTCCCCTGAGGGCCACTACCTTCTGGGGACAGGTGAAGTGGAAACAAGGTTTTCTAACTCTGCAGTGCTGCCCTGGGCCTGGGGAGGCGGAGCACAGGCTCCTTTAAGTCCTCAAAGGAATATATCTTCCCCTCTTTTAGATCCATGTCCCAAAATCAAAGTGATATGCCCAATGGATGAAATAGACCACTGTACCAGACACGGAGATTGCCCAGAAGACATGGACTGTTGCATGTACAGCTGTGGAAAGAAATGTGTAGCTCTCAAAGAAGGTAACTCAGATACTTTCTGAATTACCCAATGTCCTCATGTACTACCCCCACCTGCACTGCACTAACTCTCCTGCTTCACTGAGGGCTGGTCTCTGACCAAGAGTCTAGCTATGTCTTCTACTTGACACAAATCTATCAGCCCTGGACTTGGGAGACATGGATTTTATTTCATTTCTTCCCCTGTCTTGGTACGTAATGTGAACAATGTAGTTTTCCTTTCTGGGCTTCAGTTTCCCTATCCATAAGACAGGTGTTGATATTGGACCACATGGTCTCTTGGGTACTCTTCAGTGATTCTCGAGATGCCAAGTAGTCACCGAAGTCTCATCAAAAGCCAACATTGTGTCAGGTTGTATGTTAGCTATAAGAGATAAGTATATAATATGTATTTCCTGGTTTTTTTCTTCAGGCTCCTCTGTGTATATAAATCCAGGATGTCTTTCTTGACCACCTTAGACTGCCTGCACTCTTTCTTCGCTGCCCATATTATTGGGCTCTAAAGAAGACCATCAAGGACTATTCATCCATTCTATTCATTCAACAAATATGATTGGTTCCCTGACACCCATGATGAGTTCCACTTGCTCATTGTGGCCAGGAAGATCAGAAAAGGTTTTTCTGGGAAAGGGATCCATGATTTAAGGTCTGAAAGATGAGTACTTAGACAAAAAATATCGGACAAAATAGCCTTTCAGGCACAGGTAATAGCATGTGCAAAGGCTCTGTGGCAGGAGGCAGCATGTTCAGGCCTAGAAAGACTGGAAAGCAGAGAGTGAGGAAGAGATGAGAAAGAGGAAGCTGGTAGTGTATATTCAGGGCAACTTGAATCTGCACTCCCATGCGACCATCCTCAAGTTTTGGGCTCAAATAAACTCTCTACTTAATCATATGTTCTGAATCTTGTTACTTAAGGTTGACATGCCTATCAAGACAATAACTAGGTTTTCAGTGCCTTGACCAAATGTTGGATGTGTGGCCTTCTGGCCAAGTACCTGTGGTTTCACATTGTTCAAGCATTTGTTGCATTCCTAGGGATTGCAGCTCTATATAAGCTCACTGTTGCTGAACCAAGAAATGAGGCATACACAGATTTCGACGGAAATTGTAATTCTAGAACAGATTTTGAAGAGATGAGGAAGGCTGATATCTTTCAGAGTGCAAAGTGACTTTGGAATAGAATTTCTCTGGGTTGAAGTTTCTCACTGACTTATGTTCCTGAACCATGAAGCATGAATATGTGGGCTGAGAAATAGTTTCTCTTGGTAAATAAACAATTAACAAATTTTAAAAAGAGAGAAAGATGAAGCTGGGGCCAATGAGAGAAGGAGAACAGGTAAGGGGTCTGGTCTTGATCCCAAAAGCAATAGATTAACCTATGTTCAAATCCTTTGCCATCTGTGTGGCTTCAGGAAAGTTATTTGGCCTCTTCAAACCTTACTTTCCTCATCTGCATAATTAGAACAATAAGAAGACCTACTTTACAAGATTAAATGTTAATAGATGTCAACTACTAAGAATAGTGCCTGACTCTAACTGATGATATAATTATTGTTTTGTCGTGTTTCAGACTATGAGGTTCTAAAGAACTCTATTTGTACCTCATAGCACTATGGTAAAATAGTTGCTCAATAAATGCTTCTTTAAGACCACCATAGATTTGGGTTTTGGGTTTTTTTTTTCTGTGAATACTCATGAAGCATCCTTTCTATGCCAAATTACCTGTGAGAAACTGCTTTATCAAGATGGCATAAGATGCGATCCCCTCTCAAAAACCTCACATTCTCATGGAGGAGTCAGAAAACATAAACAAGAAACTAAATGGAAATGATAAATGTGTGTGTAAGACTGAGAAGTAATAAAGAAGAGCAAGGAGTAAAGAATGAATCCAGGAAAGACTGCAGAAAAGAGTCGATGTCTGGCAGGGGTTTTAAAGAATGAACAAGAGTGCACTTATCAAGAGGGGGCTGGATGTGTCAGGCGTGTGCAAAGGCATGGGGTATGTAAGAACGTGCTATTTTTAGAGCATACAGTTGGGAGCTTGGGTGTTGGGCAGCATAAGAAATAAGCTGGAGAGGAGGAGGAGGAAATGAATTCCCAAGTCCTTCTGGGTTTGGTAGAACTTCATCCTGTGTCCAGCAGATCAGCCATTCTGGAAACCAGTGTGAAGCAGACTGGAGAAGTCTTGGAGATTAACTGGTGGACTTTCGTGGAAGTCCTTGCAAAAGAGAATGATGCTTGAATTAAGAAAGTGGCAGAAAGGAAATAAGAGCTATTTAGGAGGCAAAGTCAGCCAGATTTAGTGTTCAGATGTTGGGGAGGCAAAGAAAAAGAAGCCATGTGATGCCACAGCTGCTCCTTCCAGCAGCCCTGTTAGGTAAGCAGGGTGGAATTTTTGTATTCTCATCTTACAGATGAGGAAGTCAAGGACCGGAGAGGTAATTGGGAGCACACTGAATTGGGAGCAGAGCCCTGAACCAAATTTGTTCCTTAGTGGAGACAAAGAGAGCAGTGGCCCGAGAAAGGGAGAGATGGACATTCTCCAGGGAGACAGGCACCCAAATAGCTCTGTTCTGCGATCTCCCTGCAGATATATGCGGTATGCCGCCAGACCCTGGCTGCTGCTTGGCCTCCTTCCCACGCTGGTGGTACGATAAAAAAACTAAGACCTGCTCCGAATTCATTTATGGAGGTTGCCAGGGGAACAACAACAACTTCCAAACTGAAGATATCTGCATGGTCACCTGCCAAAAGCTCAGTAAGTCCCAGAGGTCCCAGTCTCCTGTGCTCACCAAGGACACACTGGGTGGTCTGGGTGTTGGCTGGTCTATTCAAAGACCTGGGTGGGCCTGGGGATGACAGAACCAGCTCCAATGCAGTGGTACAAGTAGAAGGATATTTTGGGAAAGAGAGGGTGGGGAGGGAGGGATTAGTCAAAGGGATATTGGCAAGTATGAGGTGAGTAGGGGGTGTAGAGAGCAAACAAAAGTGGTGGAGTATCCCAGACCAGGTCAGATGGAGGCCCAGCAAATCCAGCCCAGCTCTGAGCACCATTCACCAGCCAATCATTATAGGCCTTTACTTTGCACTAAACCTTGTTGCTAATTCTCTACCTTTTAAAGGTTATTTCTAACCAAAGCAACCATGTACTTTATTGGCCAAACCAAGTCACTTTTGAGAATGTCTTAAACTGAGGTGCCATTAATTATTACATTGGGACGACAGGCATAAACTGGGACTCTACTGGACAAACCAGAACCCATGATCATTTTAGGAGCCCCCAAACTCACCTTCATTCCATTCCTGCCCAAAGATGTAAAATCGATCCCACCTCGTTTTTCTCATTAGCTGCAAGATTTGGTTCCTAATGTGGCCAGGGTCCAAGTATCTCACCCCTTATTCTTCTACTTCACAGGTGGGCCTAATTAGCATAAGGAGGAGCTTGAACAACCTCCAGGATTGGGTTCATAATCCAGGCCTCTCTCCATGTGTGCCTGATTGGTGCTCCATATTGGCTTCCATGGGCCAAACGTTGGCTGTTCCAGAAACTGAATCCCAGGAATTGCTTACACCCTTTCTTTTAGCATAGCTTCTCTTCAAACATAATGACCTTCCCTTTGACCACTTCTCAGTATGAAACTCTATGTCTTCAACTTTCAGAACTCCTATGTATTCCTATGAAGCTTTCAGTTCCCTTAATAAAGTGCACTGTAGGATCTGATCTCTCTGAGGCTGAACAATTCGTATCTGCAATATGCTGATATTCACATATACTCACATCTGTCTGTATGCAATTTTCAGAGAACAAGAAATCATTACATTTTCTGGTAACACCGAAAAAGGGAGAGAGGAGTATGAAAATTCTGCAATTGAGAATGCTGGTGGCATTGTTACTTTAGTAAAATTGTTGTAAGATGCTTAAGATTGGAGCCAATGCAGATCCAGATTTTGTGTGGTCTAAACCTGATAAATCAGGAGCTCCTTTAGAAACTAAGCACAGGCCAGGTACGGTGGCTTATGCCTGTAATCCCAGCACTTTGGGAAGCTGAGGCTGGTGGATCACCTGAGGTTGGGAGTTTGAAACTAGCCTGATCAATGTGGAGAAACCCTGGCTCCACTGAAAATATAAAAAAAATTAGCCAGGCGTGGTAGTGCATGCCTGTAATCCCAGCTACTCAGGAGACTCAGGCAGGCGAATTGTTTGAACCTGGGAGGCGGAGGTTGCAGTGAGCCTAGATTGCATCATTGCACCCCAGCCTGGGCAACAAGAGTGAAACTCTGTCTCAAAAAAAAAAAAAAAAAAAAGAAAGAAAGAAAGAAAGAAAAAGACAAAGAAAGAAATAAACCAAACACAAATGAGTACAAAAAAGAATATTATTTCAAATGAGGAGGGAAATTGCAATCAACTGCAAATTTTTAAAGGCTGACAAACAGTAAAAATTGCACAAAACCCACAAATATTAATAAATCATTGTTTACATTTATGACATCAGTTCTGTAAAGCACAATTTCTGTAGAGAGAATGGAAAGATAACTATGTCTTTTATTTAATGTGGCGATCAAAATATGATTATATTTTATTTTTTGTTATAGGTGAGTTGCATAATGCATACCTGAATGCTTGAAGCCATGCTTGAGGTCTGTAGTTCTGTTACAGGTTTGTGTCCAGAAACACAGGAATTTTAATAAATTATCTTTTGTACAATTCCATCAAAAAAAAGAAAAAAATGCATGGTACATTTAAAATTGTACATATTGAAGTATTAAGTATATGCTTACTAGAAAAGAACTTCTGAACAGGCTTCCATAAGGACTGATTTTTTTTTCTATTTAAAATTTGATGTATCTGGCTGGGTGTGGTGGCTCATGCCTGTAAGAGAAAAGTAAAGGCAGAATGATCATTTATAATATTACTAAATTGGGCCAGGCACAGTGACTCACACCTGTAATCCCAGCACTTTGGGAGGCCAAGGTGGGTGGATCACCTGAGGTAGGAGTTCAAGACCAGCCCAGCCAACATGGTGAAACCCTATCTCTACTAAAAATACAAGAAATTAGCCAGTGTAGTGGCATGCACCTGTAGTCCCAGCTACTCGGGAGGCTGAGACACGAGAATCACTTCAACCTGGGAGGTGGAGGCTGCAGTGAGCCAAAGATCATTCCATTGCATTCCAGCCTGGACAGTGGAGTGAGACTCCATCTCAAGAAAAAAAATTGATGTATCTGATATTTGAAAGAATCCTCCACAGCCTTGTTTTCCTGGCTCCATACATTTCAAAACTTGCTTCTCCTCTACCATCCATATCCATCTTGGGCTAAGAACATTCATTTTACAGTGCATCCTCTAGTCACATAACTTAGTGTTAAATGTCAAGGGAATTGGCCCAGTAGATAACAAGAGTATTATTTGCTGCTGCTCCTACACCAGGACAGCTAGCAGCAACTTCCTATACATAGAAATGACAGCAGACAACCTAAATATATTCTACTAACTCCAAAATAAATATATCCCCAAATCAACTTCCTTTTAATCTGCATGCCTAAAATGCTGGCAGTTGCCCCAACATCACCTGAGCCAGGAAAAGTGTGACAGAGGGAAAGGTCAGAATGGAAAGGGAAGGTGGATTGGTTGATTGTGGTTAGAATATCGTACTTTTGCAGATATTACAAGTCATCTGACCACTTAAACATATAGCTAGAAGCACTCCCAGAATCTTAAAAGGGGTTTGCTCAAGTGAGGGACCCTGAGGCTTGGCTC